TTTTTTTTTTTTTGTCAAACATTATCACAGCTTCAAAGCAGCAGCATAGGGAATGGTGGCTCATTTACAGATCCCCTCTGACAATTCTACAGCACAGTCTTAACAATTCTATCACGAAAAACAGAGAGAGACCAGAAAAGCAGGGATCACAACTGAAAAGTGAATAAATGTCCCTCTCTTTAGGAATTCTTTTACTCTCCATCTTGTTCCATTTACATTCAGATAATACCTTTTATTCTGGAACTCCAAACCAACAGGCTATTTTTTTTCCTAATCACAGTTTCCTTTTTCTAAGACTGATGACCACAGATTAACAGCCAGATTATTTCTACCTCTTCACAAAGCAGCATTCAGGTAGCACAACCACCTGCTATAGAAGCAGTTACTTATCTGTCCCTTACATAAACCACTTGCATCAGATAACTTTCCATTTAAAATCCTGGACTTCTTTGCCAATACTGTGATCGAACTCTCAAGGATAGAAGGAAATCAACGGTTTCTTATTTTCTACCATAGGGAATGGACATGAGGATTAAATGGGTAAAAGCATAAAAATAGTTCGTGTCCACCCCTCAGACTCTATAAACAGAGTAACACTTTAGGTTCAGCATCAGCTAAACCAAATATTAATAAGACAACACAAAAAGAATCTTTATACATGGAGAAATCCATCAGCTCTCAAAAGCCTACAGGAACGGAGGAAATTTGGTCTATGTGAGGCAGGTGATCTGAGTTTTCAATTCTGAGTGGTGGAAAGAGAGGAGGGTAAAAGAATAGTTGAAGGTTCTGTGGGAACAGATGCATGGTACTCACAGGCAAGAGAACTTCATTCAACAGGACTAATCAAATCTCCCTGTGACTATGTCTACATTCCACATTCCTGATTGCGTATTGCTCAGCTCCCAACACGTGGCCGTAACTGAAAGCTCTTGCTACCTCCCCACTTTGCTCTGGCATCCTCTGGTGACCCTCCCAGTGGTTTGGCTGCAGCCCCAGGAAGCAGACTCTGATCCCAGGCTGAATACCCCTAGAACATTTAATTCTTCTTCTAACCCTGTGATCATGCTCAGTTCTTTTCTCTGCCTAGCACCACACTGCTCTTTGGACAAAAGTAAAAAGACTTCAAAAATATTGAGGGATTCAAAATTAATGCTTACATGCAATGACAAGAAAAATATTCTGGGAATATATAAATATGTCACACTGATCTCCTTAGAGCTACAATCATCTAATAATCTTCAAACAAATTTTGCTTTAAAAGCCACTTAAAATTTTAAATTTCTGTACACTCCTAATTCTCCTTTATTTTCATAATTCAATGAGATTAGTAGGGTAAACACTCCACTTATTTTGAAATATATCTTTACATTCCTTGCATTAGCTGGAAGGTAAGATCCCAAACAGTAAAGAAACAAAAGAAACTACATTTGTGTTGAAAATACATTTCCATAAGTTTTGAACTAATGTAGCTTCCTGATATTTTTAGGCTTGTAGACATTCTCACAGCTAAAGCTACATAAGTCTTAGTTTCTTAAATAATGTGAAAAGAAACACATTATTTAAAAATGATAGCAAAAGAAATTGCTATCATTTACCCTAAACCAAGGAAATATATTCTTTCTAGAATGGTTTTGGTGTTTAAATAATGCTTTTATACCTACTGGGCTTTCTCACAATTGTCACTTCAACAAAATTTTACTAAGTAAATAAAATGTATTTTTAAAAATATCCCATTCTTAGCCATTGTTATTCAAATGCCTGAAACAGCCAGGCATATCTACAAAGTCCTAATGCCTTATCCAGAACAGTATTACAGATGGATTACGGATGGATATACATCAAAGAAAATTTATCCATGGCTTCACGATTTTGATCATCTTTGTTGTATATTTTTCTTTTCAGATATTGGGGAAATTTTAAGGAACTTGTAAGGTCCTTCAAAATGTAACAGATTGTCTAGTACACTTGATTTTGTTATGTCGGTTTCTCTTTCCCGGCCTTTGGAGTATCATTTTACCTCCTGGGAATGTCTTACTTAATTCTATATCTGAGTACTTTCTACTTCTTAAGGGAAGGTGGGAAAAATCAATTACTTACCATTTGTGAACACCTTTGGAGCTTTAGCTGGAAGCTCCTTTGACAAGCAAAGTACTATTCTTCGGTACCTTATGGTGCTACTATGTCCTTACTGATACATACTTGTAAGTAATTTGTACTGGCTGCTGGGACTCAGAATTTGTTTTTTATAACATCAGGCTAAATCTAGCAGTCATCTTTACTAGAAACCTGTATGCACCCAGCAACTGGACCAATAGAGGGCCACACCATATTTCTCATTTTGCGGATAGCACATCACTCTGGATCGTGGCTGACCCCATTCGCCTAGCTCTCTGCTTGGTACTCAGCCAAAGTACCAAGCAAAGTGCTTGAAGGAATGAATGAACCATAAAATTCCCCAGATCTGGAGATATCAACTTACCAGCCAGCATATGCATACATTCCATAATAAAATGCTAGGGGCAACCCCATAATACTAGCATCTCTTCCGGAAAAAGCATCTTTAAAGTGCTGTGTTTGACCTGTAATCAGAAGAAGATGATGTTAGTGGTTTCCAGAAGATGGGTTATTATTCTCTCTTTAATCATGAACATGGGGAAAAGGAGGTGAACCCCACTGTTGTAGGTCTAGATTTCTTACTCTCTACTCATTACCTGCTCTATTATTAGGACTGTACCAATTCTAGAGAAGAAGTCCAATAAGTATATTCATCACATCAACACTATTTCACATTTCTCTATGACTAAAGTTATAGCAAAGATGAAAATGGCATTTTGAAAAAGAATCCCTTGTTTAAGTGTGCTTCTACTGTGACCAAGAAAGGAGACTAAAAATCTTCTGTAACTTCATTAGGAATGTGGAAGAATTATTAAAAGCAAAAATAATGCACTGCCTGACTACAAAGAAATATCCAAGGTTCTATCCTTAATGAGAAGGTGGCAGGAAACCCCAGAACCACTTCTACATCATTTGATTCTGTTGACCATGTGCTGTTCATTAGACCCTGCCTCCTAGAACAGGGGTTGAAAACACTGAGGACCATATTGGCCAGCCCAACCTGGAAGCCTGTCTTATAAATAATGTTTTATTGTAATATAACCATGCACATTCATTTAAGGATTGTTCATGGCTGGTTTTACCCTACAATAGCAGATCTGAGTAATTTCAACAGAGACCATATAAGTCACAAAGTTAGAAATATTTACTGTCTGGACCTTTATAGAAGAAGCCCACTGACCCTGTGGCCTTGTCCTACAGAATGGTAGGGTTTCCTTCTAGGAACATTGAAAACACACATACACACACACACACATACATATATAAATATATATATATATATATAAAAATTATATCAAACTTTAAAATAAATATTTCAAAAATGTGTCAATTGGTAGATTGAATGCATTTATTCATCACATATTTTTCTATTTTATGAATCACAGATGACCTTTGCTTGCATATCTTTTGGATAGTTTAAAAAGCTAGCAATTCAGGTTTACTTTGGTCAGTTAATAGCCAAGCAGAAAAAAAAAATGCTTCTGTTTCGGAAAGAAACCAGCAATGAAATTATTCATTGGGAAATGTAATTTTGTTTTAAAATCGATCTCAATGTCACTAAATGAAAGGGGTGTGAGAGGTGGGTGAAGTATTTGAGGCACTCTAACATCAAAGTCAAATCCTAGTTGCTGACTGCACCGTCCAGCACATCCTATATTGATATAACATGTGTAAGTTGAGTCCAAAAATGAAGAGTGTTGACGCATATATTAGGCAATTGTTCCCTCAAAGTAAACAATTCCCAAACATAGGTCATTTTTAAAGTAGTAGAGTAAATTCAGAATTCCCATTTTGCTAAAACATTTCTGTGTACTTATAGGAGAAAAATATAAATACTGAAATTCAGATAAAAACATCTGTTGATAGCCGGGTGTTGTGCTGAGCGCCTGTAATCCCAGCTACTTGGGAGGCTGAGGCAAGAGTATCACTTAAGCCCAAGAGTTGAAAGTTGTTGTGAGCTGTGACTTCACAGCACTCTACTGAGGGTGACATAATGAAACTCTGTCTCAAAAAAAAATCTGTTGAATATTCTTTTTTTCATGATTTTTAAGTCTCTTCAGCATACAAGGCAAATATTTCTAAGAGTGTAGCACCAAATAATCAATAAGAAAAATCAAACTCTGTGAAGACTGAGTTATAAGCACCAATCTTCAAAAGTGCTATTTTGAAAGTCTCACAAAAAGGGAAGCATTTTATTTCTAAACTTCAGAAATATTTTGTCTACAAATCAGAGTTCTCAAGAAGATGAACGTCAAAACATTCAAAGGAAAGTTGAACAAATACTTATAAGTTATTACTATGTTTGGGAACTGAATAGAGTACAATCTGTTAGTAAAGTGTTTATCTTTGTACAGTTTCAAAATATGTGATCACGTTTGCGATAAAGTCACAATTTCATAGCAATAGAACAAATATATCTGCTAAGAATAACCTCCAAAATATTACAAAATACACTAAATATGGTAATGTTCTCAGGGAATTTCTCTGTTGGATGACATCATGAAAAAGCCTGGTCACTTTAAGCACTGACATCATCATAATTCACTAAAGTATCCTTCTATTTTAATTGTCAAACAGAATTCAAGAGATGCATCATGATCTCTGCTCTTAAGGAATTTGCAATACAGTAACATTTGGGCAACCGAATTTTGACTCTTGTGCAAACAAGTGGCAAAAATCCACTACAGTCTATGATGCTCCCTATAGTGTCTTACGCCATACAGAAAAAAAAAGAAAACAGATCTTAATTTCAGGGGCTAATTTATCATCTTTTCTAATCAAAACTGGGACTAGAGAAGAGCCAATGACCTAGAGATTCTATGCTCCTTACAAAAGACTAAAGATTTAGCCCAAGGAAAGCAAGCACCAACAGAACAGATTACTTTGCCTACATCCCAAATGAATGTAGATACGAGCAGGCCAGCTCTGGGGCGGCTCAGGTGAACTAGAAGAGCAAGCTCATGGCTTCTCTTCAGTGCAAACTCTGGCATTCAAAATCTCTGTCCTGTTTATTCTGTGCTGGCTGAGGTTGCTGAATTTGATAAAAGCATTTCCGCCAGCAGAGCTGTAAGATCTCCCACCAGGCTTATTAAATGGGCGAGGGCATCTCCTCTCCCAGCTCCAGAGTGGCCACTCTGGTCTCCCAGTGTTTTTTACTGTTTAATGCCTCTACCCACAGAAATGATTTTGCTGAACTTTGGCATTTTCTTTTGCCTTGTCTAACTCTCCTCCTGCAATGTCATTAAATTTCTCTATAAATTCTCTTTCTTGGAACAGACAGTAGCAATGTAAACATTAAATACTCAGGATGCCCGAGTTATATGTCACTCTTTTACAATTTTTCCTCACGTTCCAGTTTATTTCCTACTATTGTGGCTATTGCTAATTAAATCTCTCATGGGGACCTCTTTCTCTTCCAGAAATTTCCACTAAAACACCGAAACTAAATTTCACCACTTAACTTCTTTTTTTTATTATGCACTAAATTTTATAAAGCAAATAATCTCAAAAATGTTACAGTTCTGAAGAAATGCAAAATTTACATTAAAATAATGAAGCAATAAAATGGAGCTTTTTACATCTATTTTTAGTGTCATATCATATGTAGTTTTTAGGAATGCTGTTCCCATGTCTGATTCCTCTTTCTGAGGATATCATTGTCAAGGTAAAAGAAACAATTATCAGAAAGCAAAAAAAAAGAAGATTTTTTATTATTTTTCACATATCTGCTTCTATTTTAATCTTTGTTAATATTATTAGACAAATTTAAAGTAAAAATAAGAAGACACATTTATCTATAGTTAAAACTAAATGGTAGATTTTTTTTTCACTTAGAGTTTTTCACTCCGGTTTGTACTGAGAGAATTCACTGATACCTTATTTTGTTGCTTGGCCCAGTCTTAATCCTCTTGCTGCCATTCAACTGTAAATACCAACTCACCCACAATGTAGCAGGCTTCCAAATCAATTAGATGACAGTATAGAATTTAAGTTCCACAAGCAGAAACTAATTAAGGATTCTGCTACTATAAGCAAAAGTTAGTGTTAAAAGAGACCAAAAGCAGATACGCATTTTAAAAAGCATTTACTTTTCAGCCCATACCTTTAATTAGTTGCATAACTCCAGGGACTATAATTATCAGAATTGCTGTGAGCTTGCAAAAGGTTAGGAAAATCTGGATCCGAGCACTCCAGCTGACACTCATGCTATTTAGGACCATCACGGTAGCTGCAAACAAATAGAAGCAGTTAAAGAAGGTGAATGCTCATTGACACGAAGACATTTTACATTCTTGTTACTCAAAGTGTAACTTGTGAATCAGCAGCACTGGCATGCTGGAAGGGTTTCAGAAATGCAGAATCCCAGTTCCTGCTTCAAACCTAATGAACACAATTCTACTCCTCATCCAGCTCGCTGGGTAATTTTTAGGCATATTATTAAAGTTTGAGAAGCTTAAATAAAACCTTTGGACAACAAGAATTCCTTTCTTGTTCTTTGTATATGTCAATAGAGTGGACATATATTGTAGTACTCTAAAACTCAGATATTTTTAACAAAACCCTGAAGTTATCACAGCATGCAATCAGATTGCTGAATTTGATTCTTTAGCTTGATAAGGCAACTGTGTCCTAACTCACACCTGTCACAGTGGATCGCACTCAAGAAGGGACAAGAAGAAAAGCTGGCTAAAATCTTGTTCTTCCTTCTCAGGACTAGCCTTAGTTGGCACTTTTTCAATTTTCACATTAAGTAGTGACTTTTAATCTACCATACGCATACAGGCTTCTAAAACAGGTTTGGGGACTTGAGTAAAACATCATAAAGTGATAAGCCCAAAAGCGTTTTTCCCAAACTAGGATGCACACTGGGTTCAAACCAGTAGCATTTCCTGTTCTTAATGATGCTAGCTACAGTTTTCCAAGCAGCAGTCACCATCCACCCTCCCTACCTTCTGGACCATGAAAACCTGGAGGGTAGAATAAGGGATATTGCTAGTATCCAGCGCCATGCCTGACCCAGCTACTTTTTTTTTTTTTTAGAGAGAGAGTCTCACTTTATTGCCCTTGAGTAGAGTAGAGTGCTGTGGTGTCACAGCTTACAACAACCTCCAACTCCCCGGCTTCGGCAATTCTCTTGCCTCAGGCTCCCAAGTACCTGGGACTACAGGCACCTGCTGATGTTCTAAGACCTCCCTCCTCTACTCTACTAGAATATCTGAGGTTATTCTAGCCAGTGGATTTCAACTTTATGCTCTTTCCAAAACCCTATGTTTAGTGTGAACAAAATTTTTAAAATAACTACTTCATTCCTGACACTTGCAGTTGTTATCTATAAGCTTTACTTTTATAAAGGTGAATTCACCCTAAATGAATATCAAAATGTCTAAAAAATATTTCTCAGGAGATGAAACAAAACACAGAATTCTCACAATTCAAGTTGTAATTGCAATTGGAAGTTTTCCTATATACAGGAATAAGAGGTAATTTCATGGTTTCCATTGCCTGATATATAGTCATGAGCTCACTTCAGAATTTAAAAATTAATGCAGGCCTCTTTACCTATTTGCCCTGGCAATGGAGGCCCATTCGCTTTCTGTGGCTAATGTTTCCTGCTGCATAAGCTTTCTTATTTTGCAAGCCTATCTTTCTCTTCCTCAATAAACTTTGTTTCATGTTTGCCTTAAAAAAAAAAGTCAGTGCAATTATCAACACTTAATATATAATCGCAAACATTTTAAAACAATGCAGACCCCTTAAGGAAGGTTAATTTAAGGTATATCCTTTTAATGGTTTACATTTGGCGATTTAAAATTATGAAGGAGTTAAATATTTATTACAAAAAAGATGTTCATATATAGTACTGACCGAGACAGCAAGTTACAGAAAGATGAAGGGATGGCTAGAGAGAGTGAGACAGAGAGAGGGAAAAAAAAAAGATCTGGAAGAATATTTATCAAAATGTTAGTCACAGGTATCTAAAGATGATAGAATACCAAATTTTTCTTAATTCGTTTAATAAATTTTATAATGAACATGCAGCATTTTCGTGATTATACTCAACAGCTTTGAATTGTATGTGTGAAATTTATTTAAATGTTCTCGTCACAAAGCAAAATCAAAAAGAAAAGGAGGGAAAACTAGGTCAGGTGATTGATGTGTTAACTAACTTGACTGTTTTCACAAAATGTCTGGATATCAAATCATCACAGTGTATAACTGAAAAATTATTTATTTGTCAAGTATGTCTCAATAAAGCTGGAAAATGTAAACAAAGCAACAAAGCACATTTTATTTGATGGTATCATGTCATATTTTCTATTTTTCAGTTCTAGTCATTCAACCAAGCACATTTTATTTTTGACAAAAATTTAAAATTAGGGAAAAAAGTATAATAAGCAGTTACTTGTGAAGAGGTATTTCGAAGGAGTAATGATGAGAATGACCAGAAGGGCCGAAGCCCTGACTGAGCACAGGGGAGGCAATGAGGGCAGGTTTTATTTATGCTTGAAACAGAAAACATGAAGAAATAGGTCCATTGTCAATGCAAAGGGCATTATTTTATCAGAGAAATGACAAACATACAATTATTTCTCTCTCCCCAATATAGTTCACTTCTATATGGAAAATTATTTATTTATTTGGAAAATAAATTAGTGTAACTCTGCTCTGCCCTTCACCATCCAGGGATTCTTTTCCTTCATCCCATGCAAATGACTGTGCGATGAGTCATCATATGAAAATGATTTTTTTTTAATTAAGGAGGCTCAGTATTGGCATGAAAGTGAAAAAATTGGTCTCATGTTCCCACCAGCAACAAAAGAGCACTGTTTTCTTTTCAATAGAGCTCCTAAAGCCCAAAGCACTCTGTTCCTGAAAGTAATCCTCAATAGGAATCAGCTGTGGTATAAAGCGGATGCGAGAAAAAGAGGAATGAAAGAGAAAAAGGGAAAAGAGGTAGGCACAAAAGCAGGAAGAAAAGAAGCAAGGAAGGAGAGAGAAAAACACATTCTTATTTTTGGAACATCTAACCATCTATATATTTTAAAAAAAGAAAAGAGGGCTTATTACTTTCATGGAGAATGTAAATAGCTAATGCCTGTTGAAATGGAAAAAACAAACAATAAGTGAGATTTTATTTCCCACATTATAAAGTTTTCTTAGTTAAATGGAAGACGAAATCAAACAAACATCATGAGTATCTGTGAAAAATCTCACCTTATTTTTCTCCTAGCTGAAACAAAAATTCTGGTTCAGATGCTAGAATACTGCTGGTGGGAATGTAAATTAGTACAGCCACTATGGAAAATAGTAAGGGGGTTCCTCATAAACTAAAAGTAAATCTACCTTCTAATCAAGCAATCTCACTGCTGGGTGTAGATCCAAACAAAAGGAAATCAGTGTATCAAAGAGACATCTGCATGCCCTTGTTTATTGCAGAACCACTCACAAGAGGCAAGATAGGGAATTATCCTAAGTATCCATCTGCAGATAAATTAATAAAGAAAATGTGGTATATATACACAGTGGAATACTACTCAGCCATAGAAAAGAATAAAATGCTGTCATTTTCAACAACATGGAAATTACGTGACATGAAATAAGCCAGGCACAGAAAGATGAATAGGTGGGAGCTAAAAATGTTGATCTCATGGAGGTGGAGAGTAGAATGATAGTTACCAAATGCTGGAAAATGGAAGATGAAGACAGGTTATTTAATGGGCACAAAAATACGTTTGATAGATAGAATTACTCTAGTGTTCAATAGCCTAGTAGGGTTACTATGGTTATCAATAATTTATTGTATTTTAAAAAATAGATAGAAGAAAAATTGGGGAATGTTTCTAACACAAAGAAACTAGTGGATCTGGTGATAGATATCCCAGTTACCTTGATTTGATCATTATACATTGTAGACAGTATTGAAACATCTCATAAACCCTAAAATATGTATAATTATTATGTGTCAAAAAGTTTTAAAATAAAATATGTACAAAATACGTTTAAAAACAATTCTTCAAAGAAGATATATAGATTGCAAATAAGTCCATTAAAAAGATGCATCTTTAGTTTTGCAGGAAATACAAAATAAAAATAAGAGCTATCAAAGCTCACCTATTAGAATGTCTGAATTTAAAAAGACTGATCCTAGCAATTATTGACAAACATGTGGGGGCCAATGTACACTGCTAGTGGGAATATGGAATGGTATGACCAGCTTGGTAGAGTCTGGTAAATTTTTTGAAAAGTCAAACATGTATCTACCACATGACTCACACATTCCACTGCCAGGTATTTGCCCAAGAGAAACATAAAACATATGACTTTACAAAGGCTTGCCCTTAAAGATTAATAGTGGCTTTATTTGTGATAGCTCAAAACTGGAAACCACCCAAATGTTCATTAACATACGAAAGGATAAAGAAATTGTAGTATACCTTTATAATGAAATACTAGACAGCCATTTTAAAAGGGGTGAACTATGGAGACATACAGATATGGATGATTCTTAAAATAATTATCCTGGACAAATAAACCAGGAGCCAGAAAAATAAGAGTCCATGCTATATGATTCTAAATACAATGCTAGAAAAGAGAGACTAGCCTTTTGGAAAATGGCCCCAGGAGAGAGTAGGGATGGTTAACATATTCAGTATCTGGATTGGGTGACAGTTTCACAAGTTTATCCATATACCACACTTTATCAAATTGTACATTTTAAGTGTGTGTTTTATTGTATGTTAATTCCACTTCCATAAAACTATTTAAGAAAAAAGAAAAGACAGATATTTCCCAAAGGTTTTTCCAAACCCTGTTTCATCTGAGCATCCAGACGTTACATTCATTATGGGGTACACCGAATTCTAAGTGAGGCGCACCTGTATGCCCCTCCAGGGACAGCTTAGCAGGTAAGAAAGAACCTGGACAGAGGCCCAGGGACACTCTCCAGCATCTGTAACTGCCGCTTCACCGTGCAGCCTTACCTCAAACTTCAGGCCGTGTATGTTGCTTATCCAACAATATTGAAAAGGGATTTGGGATTCACTAAATGCAAGAGTTTTCTGAGTTCTCAAAACAAACAATAGCTATTTTTAAAAACTACCCTATATGCCCACATTGTAATAATCAAAGAAATTTGAGCCAGGTCTCTAGCTCTAGCTTTAATTCCCTTGGATTATAATTGCTAATTTTACACATGAGGAAACAATCAGTTTGGGTTTACTTTTTGAC